GCCACTTCCTTCCTTCCTTCCTTCTGCCACTTCCTTCCTTCCTTCCTTCCGCCACTTCCTTCCTTCCTTCCTTCCTTCCTTCCTTCCTTCCTTCTTCCTCTTTTCCCCCTCATTCTTTCCTTCCTTCCTTTCTCTCTTCCCTTCTCTCCATTTCTTCCCTACTTTTCCTCTCCCTTTGCTCACTTATTTTCTCCACTCATCCTCTCTCTCCGTTCTTCCCACCTCCATCGTCTCTCCCACACTTCTCCCTCTTTCCTCTTTTCCTGCTCAGTTTCTCATTGTCCCCATCTCTGTCCCTCTGTCCCTGTCCCGTGTCCTGTCCCCATCTCTGTCCCCCTATCCCGTGTCCTGTCCCTGTCCCGGGCGGTGCCGGGGAGCGCTGCAGTCCCCGCGGTGTCCCCTGGGGGGCGACACACGCCGCGCGGAGCCCCCTCGGGCAGGTGAGACCAGAGCGGCACCGGGAGCGACACCGGGAACGGCCCGGGAATGACACCGGGAACGGCCCGGGAACATCCCGGGAATGACACCGGGAACGGCCCGGGAATGATACCGGGAACGGCCCGGGAACATCCCGGGAATGACACCGGGAACGGCCCGGGAATGATACCGGGAACGGCCCGGGAACATCCCGGGAATGACACCGGGAACGGCCCGGGAATGATACCGGGAACGACACCGGGAATGATACCGGGAACGACACCGGGAACGGCCCGGGAATGACACCGGGAACGGCCCGGGAATGACACCGGGAACGGCCCGGGAACGACACCGGGAACGGCCCGGGAATGATACCGGGAACGGTACCGGGAACAACCCGGGAACGACACCGGGAACGGCCCGGGAATGACACCGGGAACAGCCCGGGAGCGACACTGGGAGCGGTCCCCGGGGCGCCCCGAGCGCTGCCGGTAAAGGCTGCGAGAGGAAAACCGGCGGCTCCCCCGGAGAACCGGGAGAAGGGAGCCCCCGGGGGAAATCCCGCATTTCCAAGCGCCTCCCGCTCTCCTCCTGGAGGAGCTCCTCACCCTGAGCTCACCCCCGTATTTTTCATAATGCTGATTATTTTTAATATTATTATTATTATTATTATTTTCCTTTGAGCCATTCGAATTTTGGGCTTTTCCGTGCCCTCTGGTTCAGTCTCTGCTCGGTGTCCAGCTGCAGCAAGCAAAGAACTTTTTGCTGCTTCTGGGGGTTCTGTAGAAATTCAGCTCGGTAAAGTTTTCAGCCGAGGAGAGGTAAGATTCCATCGAGGATATTTCTAGGAAGGGACAGCTCTGGGACACCGCAGGGGTGGCATTGCTCAAGCTCTGCATTTAAAAATTCCTGCATTTTATAAACTTATATCGTTAAAGAAATCCCATGTGCTTGTGTACGCTAAGACACAGCCCAAATTGTTACGAGAAATGTGATTTATTTGAAAACCGAACATAAAAGTGTGAAGTCGTTCTCAAATTATTCCAGAAAAAAAAAAAATAGAAGTTTTCTCTTATGGTCATACATTTACATGAAAAGTACCAGCTTATCTCGCTGAATTCACTATTTGTTTTCCCAAACAAAATATTTTCTCGGCGGACGAAACCCTCCCTGAACATTCAAAATTATTTCCGTCAAAATTAAATAACAATTTTGAAGCTCCCGGAGAAACTTCTCAATCAATTTTTCCATCGCAGATCATTTTAAACCATCCCTTCTTGTAGAGGAGCTGTCTCATAATTGAATTTTTTTTCCTCCCCTCAGTTATCGAATAAAATCGTTTCCTTTCTTATTAAGAAAATCTCCGGTAATTAACAGCCCCGCCGGGTTCCCACGGCCGGAGCCGGCTGCGGTCTCACAGCCCCGGCTGCGAGCGGGAAAGGGACCCTCGGTCCCAGCAGCCAGCCAAAATCCCAGCCCGACTTTTGGGGAAAAAAAAAAAATAAAATATATATATCTTTGTTTAAAGCCTTACGAAACCACACAAATTGCGAGGAGGGCAAGGCAAAATTACAGTGTAAGAAACCCCAAAATCACCGCTCAGGAATCAGAGCGGCAGCAGCCAGGATCGGGAGAGGCGGCGGAAAAAAACCCAGCAGAAGCGACAGCAAATTCATTTCGTCCTTATCTCGCTCTTTCCTGTCTCGAATCTATTTTGCAGCGCTATTTTTGATTATAGATATATTCTGATTTATTATTTTTTTTCCTGCGGAGTGGGGAAATCGCTGCTTTCCCATCTCGGTTCCTTCGCCCGACAGATCCACGCTTCTCTCGGATGGAACAGAACAATTCGCAGCAGTTTCCCCCAACACTTGAGTTTACACTTTGTCACCATGCGTCCCTAATTGTCCCACTCTGATTGCCTCTAATGAACTCATTAGGGAGAAGGCAGAGGGGCGGATTTCACAGGCACGAGAAAATCCACCTCAGTGCCCGCAAGGAAAAGAAATAAATAGACACTTAAACGCGCTCTCTGTTTTTTGTCGGTTTTGTTCTTTTCCTATAATAATAAAATATCCCCAAACTCCCCCAAAGCGACAGAGGAACCTCTGAACCCGCAGCGACGGCGCCAGCGGGGCCGAGGCTCGGTGTCACCGGCACCGGGCGGGCACCCAGCGGCCTCTCCGTGGCATCTCACTTAAATATGTTTAAAATATATTTAAAAATGCGAACGCGGGACCTGCGGGGCACAGCGACACCGTGATAGCGGCACCGCGGCGCGACCCCTCCCGCCGTGCCGGGCATCAACCTGCCTGCGAACAGCTCTTACAGCGTGCTCTGTTAGCTCGGGGCGGGCAGCGGGCAGGTCCCCCCGGTGGCTCGGGGCTGTTTTTTGGGGCCGAAAGGCAGAGCGCGCTGCCGAGGGGGCCGGGGGTGCCCGGAGCGGGGCTCGGCCCGGCCCGGGAGCGCGCGGGGGCCGCTCGCCAGCGCCGCCGCGTCCCGCGCTCCCATTGGCTGCGGCCGCGGCGCCGCGCGCTCCCATTGGCTGGCGGCCGCGGCGGGGGGCGGGGCCAGCGGGGAGTAAAAGCGCGGCGGCGGCGCGGGGAGAGTTTTGAAGCTGCGCAGCGCGGCCGGGAGGGAGCTCGGCGGCTCCCGCACCCCTCCGGGGGCTCCGGAACGCTTCGGGCCGTTCTTGTGACAAGGACTGGGTTTTCAGCAAGGCTGCTTTTCCTTCTTTTTATTTTTAAAAAAAAAAAAATTCTATTTTTTTTATTCTTCGTTTTTGTTTTGTTTTCGCTTCTTTTTTTTTTTTTTTTTTTTTTTTTTTTTTAAAAGAAATTCCCTTTTCCTGCGAGAACAGGCTCCCCCCGGCCCAGCTCCCCGCAGCAGTGCCCGCCGCCGCCGCGGGCCGTAGGCGTGTGTAGCAGAATCACAGTCATACAGAGGGAGGGAGAGGCCGCCAGAGACCACCCTGCCCCCGGCGACCCGGAGGATGCCGCTGCGGTGCCGCTGCTAGAGGACACGCTGGGATTTAGCTCGGCTCCGAGACTCTCTCTCTCTCTCTCTCCCGCTCTCTCCCTCTCTCCCCTCTCCGCGGAGGGGTCCCGGACGGGGGTGAGGCCCTTCCACCGTCCTCCTCTTCCTCCTATCCTCCCCGGCCGCGGCAAGCCCCTCTCCATGATGCAGGCTCGCTACTCCGTCTCGGACCCCAACGCTTTGGGAGTGGTGCCGTATTTAAGCGAGCAGAACTACTACCGGGCTGCCGGGACGTACGGCGGCATGGGCAACCCCATGAGCGTCTATTCGGGCCACGCCGAGCAGTACGCGGCGGGCATGGGGCGCTCCTACGGCCCCTACCACCCGCACCAACCCACCGCCCCCAAGGACCTGGTGAAGCCACCTTACAGCTACATCGCCCTCATCACCATGGCCATCCAGAACGCCCCCGACAAGAAGATCACGCTCAATGGGATTTACCAGTTCATCATGGACCGCTTCCCTTTCTACCGAGAGAACAAGCAGGGCTGGCAGAACAGCATCCGCCACAACCTCTCGCTCAACGAGTGCTTCGTCAAGGTGCCCCGCGACGACAAGAAGCCGGGCAAGGGCAGCTACTGGACCCTGGACCCCGACTCCTACAACATGTTCGAGAACGGCAGCTTCCTGCGCCGCCGGAGACGCTTCAAGAAGAAGGATGTCTCCAAGGAGAAAGAGGAGGCCAGGGAACGGCTGCTGAAGGAGCAGCCCAAGCCCCCCGGGCTGCCCGGCGCCGACCTCCCCAAGGAAGCCTCCTCCTCCTCTTCCTCTTCCTCCGCCTCGGCGCCGGCCTCCGAGAAGAAGGTGGTGATCAAGAGCGAGACGGCGTCTCCCGAGCTGCCCGTGATCACCAAGGTGGAGACGCTGAGCCCGGCCAGCGGCGGGGCCCTGCGGGACAGCCCCCGCAGCGCCGCCTCGCCCCCCGCCGCCGCCTCTCCGGACGCGGCGCTGCCCGAGCATCACCCGGCCGGCAACGGGCTGCCGGGCTTCAGCGTGGAGAGCATCATGACCCTGCGGACTTCCCCCGCGGGGGACCTGAGCCCGGTGAGTGCCGCCTCGGGCAGGACGGGCGGCGGGCTGGCTCTGGGCTACCCCGCGGGGCAGCCGTCGGGCTACAGCGCGGCGTGCAGCCAGGCGCTGGACACTAGTGGGAGCTACCACTGCAGCATGCGGGCCATGAGCCTCTACAGCGGCGACAGGCCGGCGCACATGTGCGCTCCGCTGGAGGACGGGCTGGCAGAGCATCCCACGGGCGCCCCGTCGCCGCTGGGCACGCTGAGCCTCCCCGCGGGGCAGGACGGAGCGCTGGGTACCGGGCATCCCCACGGCGGCGGCGGCGGCGGAGGGGCGGCGGGGGGACAGCCCGCGGCTTCTTGGTACCTCAACCACGGCGCTGAGCTGAGCCACCTGCCCGGGCACACTTTCGGCTCTCAGCAGCAGACTTTTCCCAACGTGCGGGAAATGTTCACGTCGCACCGGCTGGGGATGGAGAGCGCGGCGCTGAGCGAGCATCAGGTGAGCAGCAACTCCGCCTGTCAGATCCCCTACAGATCCGCGCCCTCCCTATATCGCCACGCCGCCCCCTACTCCTACGACTGCACTAAGTACTGAGTAGCCGCCAGCCCCCCGCTTAGGCCCATTAAAAAGAAAAACAAAATAAAAAAATTATTATTAATAATAATAATTATTAAAAAAAATCGGGAGAAATAAACCCACACCAATAAAAAGAAATCTGACAGCTTCCCCGTGGACTTTGTGGCCACAGAGTTTTGAAGATCCCAAAAGCCTCGTTTTTGGGCCTCCTTAAATCCCGGACAAGTATATTTTACTTGATAAAAGGGGGATCTCTCATTTGAAAAAGAAAAGGAAATAAAAAAAAAAAAGAAAGAAAAGAAAAAAGTTAAAAAAATTATATATATATATATGTCTATCTAAAAGTGGCAAATTTTATATGCTAAAGTATAGGGGGTCTCAGAAAAATAAGTTATGGACCAATATCACAACGACCATTTATACGTTTTAAAAGGAAAAAAAAAAGTTTATAAATATATATATAAATATATGTCCTGGGTATTTTTTGAGTTCTCTGTTGTGCTGTAAAAAATATGTGGATTTCTAATCAGGCTGATTTTCAGAGCCATTAATATAATATTTAAAGTTGAGTTCACTGGATTATTTTTGTCTCGCCCAACAGTTCCTAACTTCCAAATTAATGACAAGTGATTTCTTCTTCTTCTTCTTCTTCTTCTGTGTACAATTTCGCAATAGATTTTTCTTTCGTTTTAGAGCTGTTCTTTTCGCAAGACGAGGAAATAATTTATTTTTTGCTGGTGGATTTTTTTTTTTTTAAGGAAAAAAAATAGACAAAGTATCTGATACTTTTTTATTATTATTTACGACGTGTGATGTTTTGTATAATAGATTTCACCTTTACCATTCCTAAGGACTATTTGCTTTAACCTGCTTCGAAGTTCGTTTGTCTTATGTGGTCCTAATTGTTGTACTTACCTTAAAATAAATCCATGCTGGTTTTTTCTGCTCCAAGTCTGGCGCTTCTCTGTGTATAAACTGGGGTTTTTTTAACAGCTTTTCTTAAATTTTTTTTCTCCCTTCACCTTTCCTTCACACAGAAAACGTGGCAGTGGTTGTTTTTTTAAAACAAAGCGGTTTTCCTGAAGGTTTCTTTCTTGGAGAAAAAGTTGAATTCACGTGAAGAGCTGGAATTGTACAACTGGGGAGGAGGGGAAGGGAAAACCCCGCAGGGCTGAGCCCCCAAAAATCCCGAATCCCTGCCAGAGGGAAATTTCGGGAGTTTTCCCAGGCCTGCGATGGGGAAAACAGGAGGCTCAGGGAGGGGAATTTCTGCTCCTCTCGCCCCGTCCTTGCGAGCGCGGGGCTCCGCGCCCGGAGCCGCCTCTTTCCAGGACAGAAATCACCCCCTACCTCCCCTAAAAATCCATTTATTTATTTATTTGGTTTTCTTGAAAGGAATCCCGAGTGCCTGGGAGGGAGAGCGATCATTTAAACCCGGCCTCGCCGCGGAGTCTTTGAAAGGTGGAAAGTTCACTCGAGAATAATTTCAGTTTTGAGATCCTCTCTTGTTTGAAGAATTGGCTGATTTTAACTTTCTCTTCATCTATTTAAGCTCCTGTTCACAAAGCCGGGCACTGCCAGATATTCTGGTTTTTCCCAAATCATCCTTTAACCTGTTCAAGCAGCTTTAATCCAGGGCAAAACGCCAGATTTAGCAAACCTGAAATCCCGGGAATGCCGGCAGAGCCTAAAGCAGAGTTCGGGAAGTTTTTGGAACTTTTCAAACCCAGCCCTCTGGAGCCAGGCTCCTTTCCCAGCTGTAAAATCACATCCATCCAGCATTTCCAGGGGATAAATCCCAACCGTGCCCCCATTCCACCTCCCGCCGCCCCCCAGTGCCCCTCAAAACCCTTTTTTTTGGCTTCGGGAGGGGTTATACCCACGTCAGGCTGTTGAAATCGATGATCTAAATTGGTTTTGACCCATTAAATTCCGTCTGCTCTTGAAAGCTGGCAAAAAGCACCGAAACTCTCAATTTAAATGAGGAAAAAATGCCTGAGCCTCACTTGATGTATATTTTAAGGAGCGTTCTTGTAAAAAAGCTCCCTGCCGTTTTTCCTTGCTTTCAGAGGGTGCTTTTTATTTAATTTTATATTTTCTTCTTATTTTTATTTTTTTATGAAATAAAAGTCAAAGTGCTCTCTTAATAAGGGAAAATACAGACTGTAAAAGATTTAAAAAATAGGGAAATAAAGTGAGTAAAATGGTGAAAAGTAAATGCATAGGAGGAAAAGGGGAAAAAAATACGAATTGGGAAAGAATTCTTCCCCGGTCCAGACCTTCTTCCCATGGGATTTTTTTCCTGCGTGGATCCCGGGGACGCTGTGGGGGGAGATGACTGAAGTCAGGTGTCTGCTGGGGGTTTTCCCACACTCCTCGAGAAATCCCGGGATCGCCGCTGCTCCCACATCTTCCCACCAGGGCTCCGGGCACTCGGGGACCCTTTTCCTCAGGCAGGGATGGGATGCGGTACCGGGATCCGGGACACCCTCAGTGCTCTGTGACCATCCCCCACGCTGCTGCTGGACAGTTCCTGGGATCCCTTTTGCCCCAAAACCTCCTTTTTGGTGTTTCTTTGCCCACCTCGCCCCGGCAGGACACTCCAGCACGGGATCTGCACCGCTCCCGTCCCCTGTCCCTAGTTCCTGTCCCTTTGGAGAGCTCCTGCGGGGGCTGCGAGCATCGTCCCTTTGCTGGGTCCCGTCCTGTCCCGCGTCCCCAGTCACCCCCAGCATCCCACGGGGAGCCCTTTGGGGTGGGCTGCTGTCTCAGGAGAGCCCTTTGGGTTGGGCTGGGGTCTCAGAGGAGCCCTTTGGGGTGGGCTGGGGTCTCAGGAAAGCCCTTTGGGGTGGGCTGGGGTCACAGGAGAGCCCTTTGGGGTGGGCTGGGGTCACAGGAGAGCCCTTTGGGGTGGGCTGGGGTCTCAGAGGAGCCCTTTGGGGTGGGCTGGGGTCTCAGAGGAGCCCTTTGGGGTGGGCTGGTGTCTCAGGGGAGCTCTTTGGGGTGGGCTGGTGTCTCAGGAGAGCCTTTGGGGTGGGCTGGTGTGGCAGGAGAGCCCTTTGGGGTGGGCTGGTGCCGCAGGAGAAGCGAAGCCCCGTGCGGGACGCGGGGATCCTTTGGTGGCTCTGTTTAAAAGCTGCGACAGGGAGCTCGATACGGCGATCGGAGTCTGTCGCGACAGGTGACTCCAGCCTGGCCGGAGCGGAGGGGAAGAAGTGAAGGAAGGACAAAGGCCCAGAGTAACTTTTGAAGGCAGCTATGACCAGATTTGGCTCTGCAGCCTATCGAAGGAGCAGCATGAAGCCCCCCAGAGCCGCTCTCCCCGCAGGTCAGAGGGCCGGGATTGGCCCTCGGGGACCGGCTGATGCTGCTGCGGGGCCGGTGGCCCCAGACCAGGGCTCAGGGTGGCTCCAGGAAGAGGATGAGGATTGTGGATGGGTTTCATAAATTTTTTTCTCGTGTTGCCATTCACCACCGGGTTTACAAACTTGTCCAAAACCCCAGACAGTTTCGGTTTTGGGGAGAAGAGCCGGCGGGTTTCTATCTGGTCCCTATAGCCAGTGAAGGGAGCGTTCCCCTGGTGCTCCAGGCCCCGGGTGAAATCCATTCCCCTCAGGAATCCCCCCAGGGCTCTGCACAGCCCAGCACGAGCTGTCTCGTCCCTCCCAATCAACCCCACCTTCCCCAGAGTTTGTGGGAAGGCGCCGGCCAGGAGGTTTTTGAGGAAGGCCATGAGCTCTTCCGTCATTTTCGAAGGGACTTTGCAGAAATCCATACCTGGCACTGGAAGGCCGGGAGAGAAGGAAATACATCCCTCATCCCGGGCCAGTACCGAGCCACCTCGCGTCCGGGCAGCTCCGTGCCCGGCCAGGGGCGAGGGGCGGGCAGCTCCTGCCGGGAGCTCATTCCAGAGGGAGCCCAGGCCGGGATGCAGCAGGAGTGGGGAGCTCTGATTCACATTCCCGTTCCTCCTCAGGCCGGGATGCAGCAGGAGTGGGGAGCTCTGATTCACATTCCCGTTCCTCCTCAGGCCGGGATGCAGCAGGAGTGGGGAGCTCTGATTCACATTCCCGTTCCTCCTCAGGCTGGGATGCAGCAGGAATGGGGAGCTCTGATTTTGGCCCTGTTCCCCCTCAGGCCGGGATGCAGCAGGACTGGGGAGCTCTGATTTTGGGTTCCCCACATCCCGGGGTTGCTGCAGGAATGGGGAGCACTGATGTACAGCCCCATTTCCGCCGGGCAGGACTAAGGCAGGAGAGAGGACCACTGATTTATTTCCCCGTTTCCCATGATGCAGCAGGAATGGGGAGCTCTGATCCACACCCCTTCTTGCTCCCAGGATTGGGATGCAGGAGTGGGGAGCCCTGATTTTTGCCCTGCTCCCCCCATCCCGGCACACAGCAGGAATGGTGAGCACTGATTTACACCCCTTCTTCCTCATTTTCCGGGATGGATCAGGAATGGGGAGATCTGATTCACACCCGTTCTTCCCCCCAGGATAGGGATGCAGCAGGAATGGGAAGCACTGATTTACATCCTGCTCCCCCATCCTGGGATGCAGCAGGAGTGGGAATCACTGATTGACAACCCTGCTCTCCCCCATCCTTGGGGATGGGGAGCGCTGATTTCCACCCCTTCTTCCCCCGTTTCCCGGGATGCAGCAGGAATGGGGAGAGCTCATTTGCGCCCTGCTCCCGCCGGGGGCTCCGGGCGGAACCTCTCCTCGCCGCCGCTTTAAAAGGGGCTCGCCAGCTTGAGAGGAGGGAAAACCCACCCAGGAGCGGCTCCATCGCCGGCTCTGCGTTGTTTGTTTGTTTTTTTACCGTTTAGAGAAAGAGCGGCGGTACCAACATCACCAAGAACCCCTCTGTGTCGCTTTTCCGCCCCCCCCGCAGCCGTCGGAGCCGCTCGGAGGCTGATCCCGTGCGGATAACGCAGCTCAGGAGCTCCAGCGATGCCGCCGGCAGGAAAGGGATAACAGGGATAACACGCAGCACATAAGCCGGGAAGAAGGAACGGAGAGAAAAGCCGCATCCCCGCCTCCAAGGATTTCCCACCGCCAAGAGGGGAAAACAAGGGAGGAATCGAGAATTTTACTGGGGGAGGGAGCTCGGGGAGAGAGCGGGAGCCCGTGTGACTGTCTCCTGCCGCACACGCGAGTATTTATTATTTTACTAATCCGTGCCTGGAGTGTCTCAAGGAGCGGGGGACTCCCCGAGGTGGGGAGAGGAGGAGGGTGAGGGGGGGGAAGACCCTCGGCCGGCTGCTCTGAGGATGCGCCGCGCTCTGCTCCATCCCTCCCCGGCGAGGATGCTCCAGGGGCGGGAAGGCTGCCCGGGCGTGCTGCTCCCCAGTGTCGAGAGGATGTGAGCCCCCAGATCCCTCCTTTCACCTCTTTTTATTTATTTATTTGGGGGTTTAATGTGCTTTCGGCACGGCGGGCGGGTGTTGGAGCTCCCGGGGACCGGCGGGGGTGCGCAGGGCGCGGGAGGGATGCGGAATTTCGGGCGAGGGCGGTGTTAGAGGGGTGATTTCCCCTCCCACGAGTGGGCCCAGCCAGTGAGAGGGGAGACCCCCACACCCCAGCCAGAGAAGTCGCCTCCCTGCGCACCCCGGCTGCGTTTCCCAGGCTCTCCTGGAGGTTTGCAGCTTTCAGGACCCATCCGGAGCTCCACGGCATCCTCGGGGATGAAAATCCTTCTCCCGACAGGGGAGCGACACTGGGAGAGAAACCTCACGGGTGAAGGGGAACTTGCGGAGAAATCCGGGGATGGGGAGGTGGAGGCATCGCCAGGACCGGGTGGTGCTGGGGGACACCCGGTGCTCGGCTTGTACCTTTTCCTGCCAGGTAAAAATCCCAGCAGCCTCGTGGGAGCTGCGCTGTTGGAATATTTCTCTTTGAAGGAGAAAGGATCCCCCTCAGGCCTTTTCTTCCCTCCCTCGGAGAAAAGATGCTCCACAGAACAGGGATCTAAACCCGCGGGGGACTGGGGACACAGGCGACACCTCCAACTGCATCGGAATCCCTTGGGGCCCTCGGATTAAAGCTGTTACGTCAGTAAATTAAAAAAAAAAAAAAATCCGACAACAAAAAACACAGCCCCAAACCCAAACCTGGACGTTTATACAGAAAAAGAGCATCACAAATTCCTAATGTAAGCACCGGCCAGCTGTGTGCACTTGTAAAGTTGTTATAATCCCCCTCCTTGTTATAAACAGGAAAGTACATAATATAAAGCAACAGGCCCGCATTCACAAATACTGAGCCTCCTCCCGGGCCTGCCAAATTCCCCTTTTGCTGCAGTCTCCCCCGGCGCAGCTCTGCCTGCTCGGGCTGGGAGCGGGGCTGGGCCGGGGGTCCCCCTTCGCCCGTCCCCGGGGGTCTCCTTGGGGTGGAAAACCCCCTGCAGTGGGAGGTGGGACACCTCCACACCTGAGCCCCCCTTTCCTTTTCCTCCCTCGCCATCGCAGCTCTGCCTCCTCCCCTCATCCACCCCTTTCTCTTCTTCATTTTTATTTTTTTTTTTAATTTTAGTGTTGTTTAATGTCCCACTTTTGCTGCGGGGATCCCTGCCCGCTGCTCCCCAGCTCCAGCAGTGTACATCCTGCTCTGCTGTGTGTGCTTACAGCGTCAAAGGGTGGACGTGATATTTCAAACATCAGATCAGTGCGTTTATATATTGGGTGCCCGGAAATTTTTCCAAATAAACACAGCTTGATTCGACTTGGGTGGGCAGACTTATCAACAGACTAATTCTATAAACAAATGAAGGAATAACCCGGAGACCATTGGCTGGTATCAGCGAGACACGTGGAGAGAGCTCGGAGTTTTGTAGCAATGAAATTTTAATTAATGTGGGTGGGCTGAGAACACAAACGACTGTTTATCAGAGACAATTTATTTTCCAGCGCTAAGTCAACATATAATAGCAAACTTACAACAATTATTTAACTTTTTTTTTTTCCTCTTTTTTTTTTTTTTTTTCTTTTTTTTTTTAAGAGCTATGAAGCAGGGACAGAGGCAGAGCGAGCTCCTTCAGGCAGGGCTGGGAGCTGAGCTCGCACAAACAGCTCCCCGGTGGACTCGTCCCACGCTCCTGCCCTGCCCCGTCCCTTCGCTCGGCTCCGAGGGGGAAGACGCGGAGCTGCGAGACCGCCGGAGATGAGCCACATCTACGGCAGCCACCTCTCCCCGCTGGGCAGCCCGTCCATGGTTTACCTGCCGGCAGCGCTCGGCTTCGCCCCCGGGGGGGCGATATCCCGGCAGGACCCTCCCCAGAAACCCCCCTACAGCTACATCGCCCTCATCGCCATGGCCATCAAAGAGGCTCCGGAGCAGAAGGTGACCCTCAGCGGTATCTACCAGTTCATCATGGACCGCTTCCCCTTCTACCACGACAACAAGCAGGGCTGGCAGAACAGCATCCGCCACAACCTCTCGCTCAACGACTGCTTCGTCAAGGTGCCCCGCGAGAAGGGGCGGCCGGGCAAGGGCAGCTACTGGACCCTGGACCCGCGGTGCCTGGACATGTTCGAGAACGGCAACTACCGCCGCAGGAAGAGGAAGCCCAAAGCCGCGGCCCCTCCGGACGCCAAGGCTGGCGAGCAGCCGGGGCCGCCCGCTCGCCCCGTCGAGCCCAAGCGGGCCAAGGGCGGCGCGGCCGCAGCGCCGGGGGACGCGGCGCTCCCGCGGCCGGGCAGGGGGGGGACAGCGGCTTCCCCCGGGGGCCCGGCCCCGCTCCCCGCTGCTGCGGCCCCGCCGCACAAGAGCGGCCCCCGGGGCCGCAGCTTCAGCATCGAGAGCATCCTGGCGCGGGGGCTGCGGCCGCCGCCCCCCGGGGCAGCCCCCAAGGCGGCCCGGGACAGCCCCGCCGGCTCCCTGGTGGCCAGCGGCGGCTTCGGGCCGGCCCTCAACGCCTCGCTCATGCTCGACTCCCAGGTGCACGGGAGGCTTTACCACATCGGCATCCCCTTCCTCTCCTGCTTCCCTCTGCACTTCTCCGAGGCGGTGTTTAATTTCCAGTAGGTGCCCCGCAATTGACGCCCCCCGGCCCCGAGCGCTGCTCCGGGGGGCGCGGTGGGAGGGAGAGATCGGACTCAGACCTCACCACGCGGGTAAAGACCTAAAACAAAACAAACCCCAAAGCGCTGTTTTAAAGGTGACTCAGGATTTCAGGGCATTTTTCAAGGTGCGTCTTGCTGCGGACTCTCTTTAGCGGGTGCCTCCCACCCCTCCCTGCCAGAGCGACTTTTGAAGGTAAAGTGGCTTTGTTTTCCCGTGGGCGGTGGAGGAAGAGGCAGCACCGGGGGAATGCCCACGCTGGCCCCCAAGCCCCGTGGGATTCGCTCTGCACCTTTAATCTTTGCATCCCTCAGGTTCCTCAGACCAGGTTTCTCTGGTGCCCTTCAGGTCTCTTGTTTTCTTCTTTTATTTTTCCTTTGAAAGCCAAGCCCCACCCCGGGAGGAGGAGGAGGAGGATGAGTTTTGTTTTGCCATCAATACCCACAGGTATTAATAATGCCCAAAATTTTGCCATCAATACCCACAGGCACATAATAATTCCTGATATTCCCCACTGGCCCAGAGGCTGAACTCATGGCAGACCAAGCAATCCAGGCTCATCCTGAATATTCCTGCTTGCTTTGACCCAGCACGGCGTGGAGCTGCTTTCCTGCCCAGCACTGGTGCTTTGGAATATCCCCACAGAGTTTCTGCTCATGGATCTGGCCAAAAAGAGGAGGATGGATGAGCAAACATGGACTTTTGTCTGCTTTCCATGTCTTACTGGGATCAGTTGCTTCTGACCAAAAAAGACTGAGGCAGGGTTGTGGAGGCCAGGACAAATACCAGGGAAAAAAAATAAAGAGACATCAGCTATGTTTCTAAAGTTTTCTTTTTTCGTAAAGAAGGAAGACACATTGCAAGAAATCAGGAATATTTTGTATTTTTGTTTGCCGTAAATAGAGGCTTTTTGTATATTAGTGGATAAATGCCCTTTTGGAAAAAAACCAAATTATATTCTCAATTTTCATTATGGAACTAAACCTATATCCAATAAAGGTATATTTGTTCAGGAGTGTGGCTGGTGTGATGTGAAACACCCCTTGGCTTGTGCTGGAGGATGGAGGAGTGGGGCCTGCATCCTGGTGCTGACATGATGGGTCACGAAAAGATACAAATGAGCTCCTGGGAAATTACCTGTTCCTTGAAACAGATGAAATCTTCCCCAAAATTGTTGTTCCTCCTTCTCTTTCCCTTATTTCATCCCACCCTGTCTCGAAAGCAAAGCTTCTCCTTAAATGAGCACCTGGATATTGGAAATGTGGGGTTTCCAGGTGAGTTTTGACTCAGTTTTTGCAGAGGAAGGTTGGCATCAATTCCTTGATATTTGGACCAGGGTTGCTCATCCCAGCCCAAGGCAAAGAGGGGAAGGACAGGAAATCTCCAAAAGGTGAAAATTGTTATTTAGCTTCCCAAAAAAAATAGAATGTTCATAGGCAGATCCCTAGATCCCTGGTTAGGCTGAGCTGGAGCTTCTCAATGTGAAAAAAGAGGATAAAAAAAGAGATTTTATTTTTTAAAAACAGATTTGCAAAATAGACTTTATTTTAATAAAATCCCTTATTTACTTCCTATTTCTAACAGCTGCTGTTTGAATATCTATTGAGCCCCTTGTTTAAAGTTCTGGCACTGAATTAGAAAATGAAGAAACGCTTGTAAAAGGTTGTGAAGGTGTCGCTGCTCAGTCCCCACCGTAATTCCCAGGGCTTGCAGAGTGCTGGGAGGGTTAAAGCTCCCTGTGTGCCCCTGCTGGCCCTGCAGTGCCACTCCTGGGTGGCATCGGGGACAGGCAGGGCCACCTTATCAGGAGGGTCCATCCCAGGCTGGGCACTGCCATCACCGGCAGCCTGGGCTCTGGGAGGTGACATCAGCCACAGGAAGCTGCAGGAGGAGGAAAACGAGCCCAGCAGAGACCTCAGATCCTCTCTCCACCCCCCGAGTGATGATGCGGGCTCAGGGTGAGGTGGGAGGTTGATGCTGCCTCCAGGAGTTGTTTGGTGGATCTCAGTCAAGCCCTCCCCACAGGGAGGGATCCTCCATCCCCAGCGTCCCCACAGCCCAGCCCATGGAAAGGTTTTACCCCCCAAAAGTGGATATTTATGCTCTCAGTCACCACTTCTGACCCGTGTCTTCAGCTCCTCTGTTTCCCTTTCTCCAAACGTGGCCTCCCCGCTATGACCCCCAATTTTGTCACCTCTCAGCTCCTACTCCAGCCCCCAAAGTACCTTTTTGGACCTGTAAACAGGGCTTTTATTCCTTTTCTACTCACACATGTGGAACCTCTCCCCATCAGAGCCCTTTCTGCACTAGAGCAGTTTTTCAGTGGTCAAAAAAAGTGAGTCTCAGTTTAATACATGATGTATATTTTTATCACAGACACTTTTTTTTGGAAACCCAGCTTTTTCTACGCAATGGGAATTTGTTTCTTTGTGCAGCTTTGCTTTGACATTTGATCTTATTTCTGTTTTGGTGGAGTGGAGTGGGACCAAGTACAGCTGCAGCATTTAAAAGCTGCTTTGAGCTTGATTTTGGTTTTGCTTGAGGGAGTGAAATTAGTAAACTTAACATGCTCTGCACAAAAGTGACACCAACTCCAGTGAGCTCAGAACCCGGTGAGCAGTTCTGAGGGGCAATTTGGAATTAATTGGGATCAGGCCAGTGCTGTAACAGGGCATGAACACCAAGAAAAAGGGTCTTATTGCCAGCAGGCTGGATGAGTAACCACACACGGCTTTTGCACGTCATCTGTTTATAGAGAGGGGAGAAGTCATGGTACAATAAAAACATGCAGTAAAAACATAAAATAAAAACATGCAGTAAAAACAACAGCAGAGCAACGAGTGTGCAGTCAGTACACCAATTCCTGCCCTTTGGATGGGGCTGAGCATCCTTTAATCCTCCCCATATCCATGTGAGTTTTGGTGCTGTGCAGCCCTCTGAAACATCAAGGACCTGACAAGCTGCAAGGAATTGGTGCCAATGGTTTCACACCTGCTTCACAAACCAAAAAAGCAGCTGCCAAGCACAGAACTGCCACCCAGAATTTCCCTCATCCCTGGAATCTTCCTCCTCCTGGCTTTCCCAGCCTCTCAGGGCTGGCTATAAACACCAGCCTGGAATACTGGGGAGAAGTGGAGAAAATAGCCTGGGATGCAGAATAAACAGCACAGTGCCTGTGTGGGCGATGGAGATGCCTTCCCCTTCCTCTGCAGAGGAATGACCTCTCCCAACCCAGCAAGGTTTCCCGTCTCTGAGCTCTGCAGCCAATTTTAACTCCTAGAAGCAGGGGAGATCACAGAGGGGAGAAGCTCTCAGAGGAGTTGTTTGGTTCCCAGAGCGGCTTTGCTCCAAACACCAGTTTCCTATGAGGGGAACTGAAAACTGAGCATATTAAAATAATTCCGGAGTTTAATTTCTCATAAATGGGGCTTCCAGTCTTTAAGTAGGCTCAGTGTGTGTTCTCCTTAAGTTGGTCCCATAGCAGGTATAAAATATAATCATATAAGTATTTGATTATATTTTATGAAACGAGCAGAAGCCACCTTGAGGATTTGTCACTCAAGGTGTGGCTGTCCATGCCTGATTCCAAGGTGACATAAATCTGAGGGACTTTGCAGCCTCTTCTCCTTCCCCCACCCCATTTTAAAAGTTAATTCCCTTTCCATTCTTTACCAGAGAAAGCACATAAGGGAGGGACCATCCCTTTCCACACCAAAACCCACTGGCTTCCTGCAGACTGCTCCTAAGCCTGGTGTGATGAGCAGCCAATTCCCAAAGCAAAAAGGGGAAGAAGGATCTGCTTCCTCACTTGATTCATAGCCCCACACACCCAGAGAAGAGATCTCCCAGGAGACAGCGTTGGGGATATTAAACAGATCACATATTTGATTTGAAGTGAAAGACCAAGAAGACAAGATCACAGAATGAGAGAAGTTACAGATGGAAAAGGTCTATGAGGTTATGCAATCCATCAGTCTGGACGTTGCATAATTGCTCCCCACAGTATATTTTTAGTGCTTTATCCAGACAAATCATTAAGTGCTTTAAAATGGGCCAGATTCCTCAAACGCAGTGCGTGCTAAGTCACAGCTGATTTCACTGAGCCTCACAGCTCCAGTGTCTAACAAGACACCGAAAGGAAGTTTTGTGTGGTCAGAGAGAACAGAATGGGCCCTTCCAGAAATAATCCAGGCCTGATTCGCTATCCCTCATAGGAATCTCTCCTAAATTGACTGAATTAAACCTCCAAAATCTCATTTTCGGATTATAGAGAATAATACATTATTACTTATTCAGATGTTCTCTTAGGCCAAAGTCAAACATTGCTCATGTTCATGCGAACACGATTTGTTTTAAGCCAGCTTCAAAGCCGGCTCAGCAAAGCGTAAAGAATGTTTATTTAAAATATAGTTGCTAAATTTAGCATGAGCTCGGTTAGCCTAAATCTTAGCGACATTTTTAGAGAGTACATTGCGAATCAGGAATGCACGGAGAAATAAATAAACTTTCCCACATTTTTGGAAATCGAGGGAGAATTTGCGAGCTCTTTCTCGCACAGGCGATTTCCGTGGATTGGAAAGCGTCGTGGAGGATGCAAATTTCCCACTGAACAGACAGCTGGAAATGCACAATGCTGATAATTTTCACTGCAGTTTTGTTTCAAATAATGCTCCCTCAAGGAGGAAACAAAAGCTGTCAGCTTTTCTTCAATAGAAACTACGCAGAGCATGAACATGTTTCAATATTTACCCAAGTTCTTCGCGAAGCAACGAGAAGCAAATGGAGCTGGGCTTGGCCACGAGCCACATCTGGGGAAATCTCAGGTTTGGATTAGGTCTTGTGACCTTTCCTAGGAATTCTGATACTGGATTTTGTACCCACCTCTTGCACATTGATTCAAACATCCCCCAGCTGGATCCTGGGTTGGTTGAAATGCCAGCCGGCCTCTGGGTTGGTTATTCAGA